TCCTTCATTTGCAATATTTATGTACTTTCATATCTGTCTTATCTTACTTCCTTGGTTAATATCGACAAAAAAATTTTTTTAGATGACTGTAGTGATGGTAGGCAACCTTGAATTTTCTTTGATTTGAATGGGAGTTGCTGGCTTTCATTTGTGACATATACATCGTTAAAGAAGTCTCTGCACATGTACAGTCTATCAAGAGTTTGTTGTTAAATCAGAAAGATTACTAACTGTGTCAAATATATGTTCTGTATCTCTGGAGATAACTGTACAGTTTTTCTTCTTTGGCCTGTTAATGATGTGATAGATTATATTCCAAAATTTCCTAATATTCATCCACTCTTGGGTGGCATAAATTTACTTAGCTGTGATGTACACTACTGTTCTTTTAATTTATTATTGAATCCTATGTGCTAATATTTTGATCTCAAATTTTTACAGTAATATTTGATGATGATCAGTCTTCTTTTTTTTCTTTTCAACACTTTATATCATTTATTAATGCAGTATAAATTAGATCTAAAATCTGCAGTTTATAAGCACACCATGTTTAGATCTTTCAGATCCTTCTGCAGTTTTAGGTTATTTCTACAGAGGTTTTAGATTATTTCTACCTTTAAGTGAATGAACAACACATTCTATAATTTCTGAAAATATAGTACAGAATGAAATGACTTAAATCTCATTTAGGCACATACTGATTATGAAAATAGATTATCTCTCAATACAATACTTCTCTGTCTTGGTAAAAATAATAAAGCAAAGAAAATAATTCATTTCTGAAGTTGCTTTCCTTCACCTGTAAAGGTCTGATCTCCTCCCACTATGCATATGTACCCTTTACTGTTAAGGAAAGCTTTGCATATGTAGATATAGAAGAATAAGCTACGTAAATACTAAAGATATGTCATTCTCCCAAAGGAGACGAAAGTGGTTTTCAATGATTCCTTGCCTTTGGACACAGCTAATATCCCTGCTCTTGGGGTAGACCTAAGGACACCAGGTCATTGGTTAGAGAGGTACATGCCCTTCCTCTGCTGCTGCAGAGAGATAATGACTCAAGAAAATTGGGCTAAAATTTGTTTAAAAAAAAAAACAAACAAAAAATATAAGTAAAAGAATCACAGGTGCTGACTGATTGGTATTACATCTTGGAGCAGCCAAATGCCTTTATTTTTACTCTCTATATATTTTTGGTGGCTGTAATCAAATGTATGTTTGAAATTCCTCATTCCCCACTGTGGGGTTCTAGCTGCATTTATACTGCATTGCCTTTTAACAGGCAACTCCATCGTATTCATTTATACTGTATAAGCGTTGGCTGAAGTAGATCTGGATTTAACATCTATTTCTAAGCTGGCCCTGTGTAAACTATTTGATATTTGAATTAAATGAATATAATGACGCACCTTGGTTTATTGGTGTTGAAGTATCTTCCTATGCTTGTGCTGACTGTGTGAGAAAACTAGGCTAATAGTGTAAATAGACAGAATTGCTTGGTCTGGTGTCGAGTGAAACTTGCCTAGGATAAAATTCTGAGAAATGTTCATTTGTAAGTGTTATAATGATAGGTAAGTTCTTCTTCCATCCATTGTTCTGCTGTACCTTTGGAATGACAGTGATGTACAATAATGTCTTTCTTTCCACTCTGTCTCAATCAGTAAGCACTAGATATTACTTTAATTTAGCTACTGTTTTATTCTAAAAAGTAAACATTATCAAAATGAACCAGAAAAGAGTATTAGAGAGTCTGATCTCACCACATTCATATGGTGTGACAGGTATTTAAAGAGGGGAGGCATCACTAAAGCTATTTATAAACCTGAACAACCTTTCCAAAGTTTTCATAAAGTTTTAACAATTTAAATATCCATACTGCATCTAGGTATTCAATAAATATAATTGCATATGTTGTGCTTTCATAAATTAAAATCCTCAAATGCATCTCAAACCAAGATGGTATTTCCACATCAAGCCTGTTTAAAAGCAAATATAATAGATACTATTCCTGGTCATAAAACCAGATAAACTCCTCTGCCCCATTCAAAAGGCATCAATATCTAGTTTCCCCACATCTATTAAATGAGTGCTTTTCTATTAAAAATCATAATATGGAAAAAAAAGTCATTTTTTTCCCTTATGCACTGCTGAGAACAAGCATAATCCTCTAAATGTTTTTTTCTTTTAAATTTCCTTACAGTGTTGCTTCTAGACAACTGAGTGGGTGGAGAAAGTAAAGTGATAAGAAAAACATTTTCATCTTGTACATCTTCCTCCAGCCCCTAAAATTCTCATCTGACTCTTTGTGACATGTGTAGTGGTGTCGGCATCTCTTCAAACATAGCTCCCTTCGTGCTGGATGCTCTCAGGTTGGCTTCTTGAAGATCACACCCAGACAGATCACAATTCTCTCAATCAGTTCCTGCCAGACTTGCTCTGCTAAGGTTACAGATCTTCAGCTTTGCATTTTTTAAGGCAGCCACTCTCAGGTTAATTCTTGTCATCTGACTTCCTTCCATATCCACACCCTTCAGATTAGCACCTTCTAAATTCGCTTTAAGACCAGAAGGATCCTCAAAATTACACAGTTTCAGGGATGCTCCAGAAGGAGCATCAGAACAGAGCATCTTGACTCCCTGGAGATTTGCACAGTCAAGCACCGATCCAGAGAGATCAGCTTGTTCAAGATTTGCATAGCAAAGTGTACGTGCCGGACTGCAGCAGCATAAATTGGCCATTTTGAAGTTCATGTATGGAAGGTCCAAACGAGAAAGATCAGCACCACTGAAGCTCGAACCCTGGCATCGCAGTTCTGACTTGGTTGGAGTTGCTAGCAAACATCGGAGAAATTCCTTTCGGGTTATTGGTGAATGATCCTCCAGTGGTTGAGAATTCTTTATTGCCACTTCTAGCTTTTCAATCAATGAGTCAATACCAAAAAATCTTGCTTCTTCTAACACACCCAATAAATCATTGCCATCATTTCCAATGAGATGTCCATGAAGTAAGTAGTTTAAAATGGGTTCAAAGTAGGACTTCAGTCAATTAAGAAAGCTCCTCTAAGATCTTGCTGATTTCCCCAGACACCTTTGTCCTTAAACATGTGGGCCAGCATACTGTCAGGTTCTTTATTCGCTAAAGTGCTCCGTGTAGTTGTAGAGCACCACCCTCCAACATTTAATGTTAGCCAGTCTGGGTGGAATCCTGACAACCCTTCAGGCAGCTTAAAATTTCTCTGAGGATCAAGAAATGGCTCTCCTTCACACACAAACAAAACACCATCATCCCTGATCAAAACAACACCATCCATCAGTTCACCTTTCCCATTATATACACTGGTGGCTTTTTTTTTTTTTTTTTTTTGAGACGGAGTTTCACTCATGTTCCCCCGGCTGGAGTGCACTGGCGCGCTCTCGGCTCACCGCAACCTCCGCCTCCTGGGTTCAGGCAATTCTCCTGCCTCAGCCTCCTGA